GTCATGTGTCACCAACAGACAGGGGGTTTAAGTCAGGCGGGAGGAAGAAGGTAAGTCCTGTGGTGTGGCATATTATGAATTGATGTTCTACATACCTGTATGTTACTGTATCAGTCTATATATATATGAAGGGCGATTACTTGTGATGACATAGAAACAAAAATTTTATAGTGGATTTAGTCCAAAATTGGTATTAAATGTCTACTTGAGTGAGATTTTGGTGTCTGGTGAATTCATGTCTCCTCTTTTAAGCAGAAGAATATATTCTGGTACAGTTAGATAAAAGTTAAATTTGATCATTTAATAAGGACAGAAACTCCCATCATTTGTGGTATAAGATAACCATGCTTACCTTACTTAAACACACATTTCGGTTTTTGGTGAATTGATAAAAATGGTCAACTTTGTCTAAACTTAAATAAAGTACCCTTCAGAAACAATATGTCTTGGTCAATCACATGTATGACGCACACAAACTGTACATTTGATTCATAGCATCACGACAACACCAGAACAGCCACAGGGGAAGTGCCACTGCAGTATTCAGTCTGTATGATCCATCATGGTAAGTGTGGTACATGGAGGGGTGTTTGTAACATTGACCCCTTTCCATACCTAGATCGATCTAGCAGGGTTGACATCTCTCTGAGGGGATTCTTGCTAAATTGCATTCTGCTTTAGCGGCTTACACCCCATTTCCATAGATTAGATCGACCTACTTTAGATCGACCTAACTCCCTGGGGGTTCACGCTAAATAGCTGTCAGCCGGGCGGACACGAAAGTTAATTACCCCATTACAGCTTGTAGTAGGCGGGACGGACATTTAAGTCGGATTATCTGAAAATAATCTAGTGAGACTCCCCGCGGGGATAGATCGATCTAAAATCTATGGGAATAGAGCCTTAGATGTCTGGCATGCCTTATGAAGCTGTTAGGGGGTAATTCACTATCGTTTAGCAGCTTCAGTAAGCATGCCAGACAATTGAGCTGCTTAAGGAGAATGCAGTTCAGCGAGAATCCCCTTGGAGATAGGTAGGTTGTACTAGATCGATCTAGGCATGGGAACGGGGTCATTGTGTCTTCTCAATATTTTCATTCACAGATTTCAACAATTATAGCAACACAGATTTCAACAATTATAGCAACACAGATTTCAACAATTATAGCAACACAAGTTTCAACAGTTATAACAACCTTTTTGGCCATTAAGTCAAATTAGGATTATGTATCTGAGGTCCAGCTATTTTACAGACTCCAACTATGGATTACTTCAAGCTAATAAAAACTAAAATTAGCCAATTTACAGACTGTTCTAATGTAAAACTATTTTAACCAAATAATGACAAGAGATTTCACAGATGCTATAGCGATAATGACAGATAAAGTGCTTGCTTCCTGACTCGCATGAACCCTTGCTGAGTGTAATACAAATATTTTGCTGGATATTTGTATTAAAGCCAATAATTAGATAACAGAGCACAGTCTTGTATTACAGGAAGTATATTGCAGTGTGTGGTGCCAGTAGCAACACAGGCAAATGCTGCCAAGAACAGAATTTTCTTCACCATGCATAGTGAGTTGAGCTTATTGTCTTGTATTCTTCTCTAATGCAATGATTTGGTGTCCCACACATTTAAAAAAAAATTTTCTACTCATATTTTGAGTACAGCACCAAATGTGTGTGTGTGTGACATATCTTCTAATTTCTCTAAAGTTGACATCTCTGTAACGTTAATGTTAGTGTATCCAGGTCTGTTTGAAAGGAGGTGTCAAGGGGTTTGGGTGAGGGGGGGGGGGGGGGAGACAAACAACTCATTTGGCTGGGAAGAATTTAAATCAAAATATGAACTGGGTCCTTTGACATTGTGGTAAAGGCTCCACATGTTAAGGAGACCTGCCCCCTTTGAGTTTGCTGCCTATAGAGTACTATATAATACTATTTTTCTTCTTACAGATGAGTGTGTACTAGTGTTTTTGCCAGGCCATTTTGTTCATTTGTTGAATGTCAGCTTAGAGTATGAACCCTCACACCATATATTATTCCATGGTGAGTGGACTTTTGTTTAAGAGAGACCAAGAGGTTTGAATTAAGTCGGGTTGAGGATTTGTTTAGATTAGATATATTAGAGAGAATTCTTTTAGACTCATTTGCAGATTGTCAAAGGGATAACTTGATAAGATGTAAATTTATAGTTGTCATTGAGTTAATATCTGTGCATTACTTGTCACTTGGTTAAATTTTGTGAAGAAATTATTGATTTTTTGCATATTTAACATGTATGTATTTGTCTTAAGTTTGTTGTTAATGTACTCTGATGATTATTATGATTATTTTTCATGATATGTTTTCAGATGTGGCTTACCCTGATCTGACAGAGGAGGCAGGTGTAGAGAAAACTTCTTTATCTAAAGGTGGCTTGTTGACCCATCTGTACAGGGAGAAGTCAGGTACTGTGCCAACTGACAAGTATGTTTTGGGTGTACATAAAAAAAGCATGGATTGGGGGGTAGGGTGTAGAACAATGGAGTGTGATTAAAAGTAGAGTCCAATCTGTATTATAACTATAATGCAATAGTTTGAATAGCTTAAATTTTATTGGTAAACTTAATTAGGGTTCTGTTCAGTCTTCCTTTCCTTGGAATTTTATAAAGGGAATAAACAAGTGCAGTCTTGAACAAATTCTCATCATAGTAATTCAACAACGTTATATATTTATTTATTTATTTTTTATTTATTTATTTATTTATTTTTATTTTATTTATTTATTTTTTGTTACAGGCTTCTGTCTCTTTGAAAGTAGTGAAGGAAAAGGCTACAAACTGAGTATCAATAAGGAATGCCTGCAGCGGATGTTTACGGATTGCTACACCAACTCTACCAAGATGGCGATACTGAATTACGTGATTATCAAGACCAAGGACTGGGGGGTTGTAAAACAGGTAATGGGTTCAATAATTACTCGATCTTTTCAAAAATTAAGCAAATTTGGGCAAAAACTATCAAACTCTCAGATATATTATTTTATAATCACAGAGTTTCTATATAGCATTTATGGTGCTTTTACTTTATAGAATAGAACTATAGAGTAGCCTGCTTTTTAATTCTGTTGATACCACTCTATAGAATTTTCTGTTTTAAAAAAAAATTACGACTTAAAAGTACAGTATCTGTAAAAATCACTATTTCCCCCATGAAAAGATAGAGTATTTGACATACTTCTTATTCCTCCTAAGAACCAGAGCAATACATAGGACTTGTCTCTTATTTGAAAGTTATTGATTTTTATTATATGAATTTTATCAGAGTATTTCATTGATTTCCAGTTGATTGAATACATGTGCAATGATATAGCAAGCCCTGAAGTAGAACTTTTGATGGAGGAGTTTCTTATTGGTGAGTGACCTTGTGTCTGGGACCTAAATTTCTCTCCTGTAATGCCTGTTTATTACTTGAACTTAATACTTGTTTATAGCTTAATAACTTATGTTGCTTTTGCAAGATAAAAATAACAAATTGAGTAGTCTTAAAGGATTAACCAGTTATTTCTTATTATTTTAGAGAATAAAAGATACTAGAGAATTAACAAGAACATTTATTTTTTATTTTTGCAGCCTCTACATACAGTGCAATGAGACGCCAGATAGAGAGGGATCAGTTGCAGCTTCTGCCTTTCACAAGTATTGACACAGCTAGGGGACAACTTGAAAAGGTACACTGGCCACTTGCAATCAAATCAAATTCAGTTTCTTTCCAAAGGACTGTCAAATAATGCTGGTTTGCTAAACACCATGAATCCAAATCTCTTAAATGAAGTTAAGCAATGCATTAACAAAATTATTATAACCAGGTTAAATGTTCTAATAAAGTACTGGTGCCTGTTTTATATCTGATTGAAAGATTGAGCAAAATATTTTGCATTTGATACGTCTACCTGTCCGCTCAGATGTAAAGAACTGATAGCTGTAAGAGGTTGAGCTGGAAATATACTGCTTTCTTGGAGAATTTCAGCAAAAATGTTAACAGTTAATAATCAGAACCCTCCGTTATTAGTACATGTTCTCATAAATGATACAATAAGTTTATGCAGGTTTATAAAGTTACTGCTTTTTCTGCTTCAGAATCACAACAATCACAAGCTGGCCCAGGTGACTTACTTTCCAATGAAACATAATGTGAACATGGGCCGCAGGCACAGCTCGGGGGGAGATTCTGGACAGAGAGCTAGGAAGTTGTCCGTAGACGATCTCCCCGAGAGCTTGAGCCGTCACTTCAAGATCAAACAGCAGCTGCAGGTGTCCAGGTTTGACCCGCGGTCAGTGTCCAGACTGTTACATGCAATGAGGGACAGGCCAGAGGATTTTCAAGTGAGCTAGGTTTTAAAAGTAGTCATAGTCTGTTTTTTTTTTTCAGATATTAAAATCACGTAAAATCTTTTGGACTGCTGTATGTTTCATGATTGTAGGTAAAATAGTGTGTATTTTACACCAGAAGTTTCGGTAAAATTGGCTGGTATTTAGGAGAAGAGAGTTATGGGCAAATTTAGGCTGGGCAGGAGAGAACAGGATAGCCCATATATGTGTCTAGGTCCATTGCATTGAGGAAGAGAGAATCATGAAGATTGGCAGATACAGTTTGGGAAGATGAAGATCCTTGTTTTGTTGTTAATGTTTTTCTTAAATACTGTGAGAAGAGAATATTAAATTATCACTTTTTATGGCAAAATTATGTCAAGTTCATTGGAAATTGATGTGTTATGAAATACTTGAACACAAAAATGATTCAAAAAGCATTCTGATTAATCTTCTGAAATTTGTATATCGTTTCCTTAAGATGTGCCTGTGATGATGTTTCAGAAATCAAGTTTGTCAGAGAACCATCTGCAGGAGCCAGGCAGGGGGAGAAGAGTCCTGAAGACACTTTCTATGAAGTTCAGAAAGTTAAAGTAAGTTTTTTATGAACTTTGCATGAATTTTACAATCATTTTGAAGAAAGTTTAGTGTCTTTGTGCGTGCACACATTTGTGTGTGTGATCAGATCATTGTGGTATAAACTAGGAACATCTATCCACCAAATGTGTTTTGCTGATAGTCAGATTTAATACTAAGTGATATGTTGTCCACATTTTTTTTTCTGCCCTGCCTGGAGGCTATAAACATGGCAATAGGAAAGGTTAACATGCTACAAAATATCTTTAAAATTCTTGCAGTGTCACTGAGAATTGGATATAAATATTATGTAGTAATTCTGGATGATAAACTATTTCTGTAATATTTCAGTGAAGTCCTAACGCCAAAAGTTCCCATCAAGGCAAAGTCTGTGACAATCATCACACCTGAGAGCACAAGACAAAATTCTCCAGAAACAGGTGTGGGCAACATGCCAGTTTTGCCTGGCGAGGAAAAAGAGGAAGAATTTGTGTACGAGGACCAACCAACAGCCAGCACAGTAAGTTTTGGGGTGCATTTACTGAGTGGATACATTATAAATGGAGAGAATTAGTTATTTTATCTAAATATATTTGTGTACAAATGCTAGATTGTGTTTGCATATAAACAGTATTGGTCAGTGCCTTCAAAGGTGATATGCTGATATTGAGCTGATAGAAGTGGGATAGTATTAAAAATAAAAGACCGGTTTTGTAAAATCAGCTGCAAAATTGTCACTCAGAGAGTACATGTTTATGATTTTTGTTTTTAAAAATTAGGTTCATCAACCACATTGTTTCATTGAACACAATCAAGAATTGTGTGTAACATTTGACTGACTTATGCTGTGGAGGATAAACTTATTATCATTAATAACTTATTATTTGTTTATTTTCATTTTTATTAATTAATTTATTTTTTGGACAATATGATTATTTTTGTGATTGTTACTTTCAGACCACCCAGCAGCTGAGCCAGCACATGTCAAAGTACTTGAAACAAGATGTGCAAGGAAAGATACAAAACCTGGCCTCAGAATATGTCTCTTGTCAGGTATGTTCTTCTTCTTCTTCTTCTTCTTCTCTCTCTCTCTCTCTCTCTCTCTCTCTCTCTCTCTCTCTCTCTCTCTCTCTCTCTCTCTCTCTCATTGCATACATAAACTGTTTCAGGTTATAAGGAGGTTATATTTTATCTGCCATATACTACTACAAAATCACCATACAAGATACCTATTGTTATTGATCAGAAGGTCCCCATTAGATTTGATGATTTTGACTTGTATGTCAGTTTCTATTGTAATACTAAATTTTGATGTCTTCCAGTTCATCCAATCCAAGCAGCTGTTTCACATGTTGTGGAGTATACTTAACACACAGGAGAAGATTGTGCACTTGTAAGTCATGGCAGTTATTGAATTTAATAGTAGAATTTATAATTAATGTACTTAAATAATTTTTGAATAATATATTTATAAATAATATAATTTACAATGGTAATAAATGCCAAATTAAAGTTAATTTGGCATTTATTACCATGAAACCTAAAATTTAACGAGCTTTGTACAAATCTCAGAATTGGTTCCCTTTTTTGGTCATTTTGTTGTGTTAAACAGCATGTTTAACTATTATGTTGATCTCTTATGATGCAACCCTGTATTAAACTTTCTAATGAGTTATTGAGATAATTAAAAAGGGCATGTATTAGCTTAATAAGTGCTCTCTCAGCTGAATTGTCAATTCAGTCTAAACATTGTTTTCTGATTAACTTTTTGAAATAAAAAATCTACTTTATATTTTCAGTTTATATTTCTTCAGAGATAAAACTTTTCTTTTCAATATATTTTTCTTCAGAGACACACCATCCTGTTTAAAGGATTATGAACTGTTTCAAGCCATGGAGAGATACCTGATGGTAACACAGGATTTGGCTTTTCCACTGTGGAAAGGTGGGGCACTAGGCAATGCATACTATAATTACTTGATCTTTTCAATGGGGGGAAATTGTGAATTTTACAGAAACTGCTTTTTTTTTTTTTCAATCGTAATTTCTTAAAATCAGAACATTCCTATTGAGTGGTAGCAACAAAATTTAAAAAAAAAACAGGGTACTCTGTAGTTCTATTCTGTGTAGTAAAAGCACCACAAATGCTATTTAGAAATATTATTGTGTGACAATGAACTTGTTTCTGAAAGTTTGACAGTTTTTGCTCATTGAAAAGATTGAGTATTTACTGTACACTGCTGCACTTCCCAAACATTGTATGCTAAAATGGATACTTGCAATGGTATTTTCTAATATTATCCAAGTCTCAGTCAATTGAAAATATTAGCTGTTAAACTATATTTAGTGAAATAAGCATTCTATCTGATCATATAGAATATTCATTGCTGTGGTAAGAACCAGAAACAAAGAACTGGAGATGTTACACTTTTTTCTTCTTTTTCAGGTTTTCATACCTTTTTCACAGGACTGGCATTTCGTTGCTTGGATTTTAGGTAGGGCACTGCAGTAATTTCATATAATTACATATTTTTGCTTCAAAATAATATATTCTGGCTTTTAAATTGATGATTAGCAGAAGACCAATTCATATTTCTCATAAAAATTTTCTTTTTGCCAATTTTTGTTGTTTTTGTGTACATTTGTTTATTTTACATGTGTGTGATTCCAAACTATTTTGTTTTATTTTTCAAGCCTGTTTCTGCAGTATGTGGATTCAGGGATTCTAACTCTGACTCCCACATTTGTGGAACAAGTATTAACAGGTTGGTGAATTATTTTGAAACTTTTTTTAGTGAAATGTTAGATCCTATAGATTCATTCAAAACAATAGTAAAAGTAACTCTGATATTGTTTACATCAAATTCACACTCGGTAAAAACAATATAAGTTTGTTCAACACAATAGATTGCACATAGAATGTAGAGGAAAGGTCTATTTTATTTTGTCACATACTTTAATTGCCATTGCATTGATAAGTTATTAAGGAGTGATAATTCACCCTTTTTTCATTTAGTGAAGTTGAATTAATATCTTTATCATTAAAGTGATATTTTGAGTGCTAGCATCCACATCATGCTATTCTTTTGTAATGTGTTTCAGAGTTGGAAGATAACAGGGAAACTGATAGAATCAAGTTCCAGATTCTCTCCAAGTTACCAAAGGTTAGTGCAAATAAAGTTTTTCATTTAGTATATATTCCACTCCTTCCTTTTGTTTTCACTGTTCAATTCAATTCTTTAATTATCACTCATATCTTTGTTTTATTTTTATTTAATTTGATACAGATGAAGTAGCAGACTTGCGATTTATATGAAAGACTTGACTTCAAACACAGTTCACTGAAACTTTAAATTAATGAAATGGAGTCTATGATTCACATGGTTTTGCATATTGATATTTTGACTTCAATAACAATTTCTTCACAGGAGGAATCTGTCCAGTATTTTATCAAATCTGGACATCCATGCAGTAAAACATTCTTGGCAGAACAATATGTGCAGGCAACTCTACTGGATGGTGAGACTTCTGAAAAATATACTTCCATGTGTTTAAATAATTGACATAATTAATATAAGATTTTTAACTAATTAAATCCATTCATTTATTTTGAATTTTTAAAAATTTTTATTTATAAATAATGAACTTTTCAAGCTTAAATTAATGTCAATCAGAGTGGAAGGCTTATTTGATTAATTATTTTTCTTCTGGACTGGTTTCCTGTTGACAGAAGTATCCATATACTTCTTAATAATAAGTTCATCAATCTAAATAAGTAAATAGATAGATAGACAGATCTGTAAAAAGATATTTTAAAGTTTGCAATGATTTCAGACCCCGTGCCAAGGAGCGCCAGATCCAGTGCATCGTCCTTTGAAGGTGATGACCTCTCAATGACCTCCTCTGGAGGTGCTGGGGGACTTAGTATTGGTAATCTTTCTTTTCTTTCTTTCTTATTGATGTCCACATGACATATTAAATACCCAGGGATACAAAGAGTGTAGTGTACAATTCACATTTACAAAAAACATCACAGTTATGGCAAGATCCACTATAACATAGCATATATTACAAAGCAGTATACTTGGCATTATGTATGGTATACGACTAAGAACAGTAAGACAGCAACACAAATTCACTAATTACCAAACTTTGTTCACTACTTTGGAATGATTAAGCACAATTAAGAATATCTTACAGATTTTTTTTTTTTTTTTTTTTTTTTTTTTTTTGACAAAAGTGCCTGTAAAATATTTATTTGTCTTCACTGGTGTTTTTGTCCTAACAGTTATACTCTCTTAGACTCTCATACTTATACTGGATTTACAAAGGTATTATTATAATGGTCAATGTATTATCCAGGGAGTGTTGACAGCATGGAGGTTGGCACCTATACTCAGCAAACTTTCCCACCTCTGTCTACTTTGCTCAAGTTGCTGGAGACAAAAGGTGAAATTTTCTCTCTCATCTTCTTTCTTCTCTCTCTCTCTCTCTCTCTCTCTCTCTCTCTCTCTCTCCAGTAAGTGAGTGAGGATGCATCTGTACATACAATACATGAACAGATATGCATGCAAAAATATACATACAAGACATGAACAGAAACATATGCAAAAACATGCAAACAGTCATCCATGGCCAAAGTGACATCGCTTCTTTGTGTGTAATTTTTGTTCAAATCATTTTACAGAAGAAAAAACCTACCCGAAAATATTTTATGTAGATAATTTACTTTTTTTTCTAGTGTACAAATCATAAGCAAGCAGGTAATTCAAATTTTACAATGAATCTGCCTTTCAGATCCAGAATTTAAAAACAAGATGCCAAGAAGAGAGATGACTAGCAATGTAAATCAAGTAGATAAGATGTTCATTGAAAGCACAGCCACTATGTACAGAAGTATGCAGCAGTGATTCAGTGTGCTGTTGTCATCACCATGAAATGTGGAGGAATGGTGGACTTGTCAGATGTCACTTGTCAGGTGTCACCTGTGTCAAATGTCACTCAGTCCTCTCAGCCATGTGGAGAACACAAAGGCTGTAAACAGGCTGTTTGTCTCAGGATGGTGCTACATGTAGTATGTGGGTTAAAAAAAGTATCTCTAAAAATGCATTTTCTATTGGTATAGGGTGAATCCAATGCACCTGTTTTGAGGAAGTTATTAGGGGGTCATTGGTTCAAATATTTTTCAGCAACTGTACAAAACTAAACAGAGAAGAATACATTTTAGAGCACTCTTTGTATGGCGGACTTTAAAAATGTTGGTCACATGCAGGCAAAAGCTCGGGAAAGTTCTGCAGTTCACAACAACATTTGAAACACAAATTAGAACTGCTTGTACTTTTGATTTTACAAAAAAAAAAGCAATACGTACTTCCCCGTGAAATAGTACCACTTAACACCAGAAATGATTTTTTTTTTTTTTTGGTCATCAAGTCCACTGTCCATGTAATAAGGTTGCATATAGCGAAATGTCAAATGTAGCAGATTTCAGACCAAAAATTCAATACTGTGATCAAGGTTTGTGTGTATATAATGCATTGTGCAAAACGAAATTGCACTTGAAAATATGCAGTAGCCTGAGTACTTACCTAAATTATATATTTATCTTGACTGTGATGTGTTTTCTAGTTTGGGAGTCTTATGATTCTCATTGTCCAACATGACGATCATGTGAAGATAGAAATTCACTGTACCATGTTCATAAACTGACATTTGCATCTTCATTCACTTTTCTCAGTATTACTTGTGTATTTAGTGAAATGGTTTTCTTTCAACATATATATTGAAGTTCTTTTTGGAACCTGTTAAGCTTGTACACTGTCACAACTAATGCAATGCAGTTTACTATTGCGCTCAACATTACTGTTCATCGTCACACCCAACACAATTTTATTGTTAATGGTCTCAACTAACGCAATACTAGCTTTTTAATGTACAATACGTAGACAGTGAATGTCATACTTGGGTTTCTTTTTCTATAAATAGTTATTTACTCACAAAATGGAAGATAAAGGTAACTAGACTGGTTGGTTGATAATTGGTAAATTATCAGAGAGGTGCTATTCATCTTGAATAAATTATTTTTAACATATTGCGTGTTCAGAGACTGATTACAAGTAGCTCTGCTGAAAAAGCCATTTTTACCAAGAGCATGATTGGCTGCTTGTTGACAACTACTTTTAGCTCAAGGTTGTGAATTTCCAAGGGATTCTCGGATTGTCCTCATATCTCCTCCATTTCTAGTATCTGGGAATGACATGCGTATATAGTACATGTGGTATCTTAAACTTTGGAGGTAATTTATCGCGTACAGTCTCACACCTTGGCAGTATTTGTTTGCGTGTTGACTGTAGAACACGTACGTGGGTGTCACACAAGAACTAAGATTTACTCCTAGTCATCGCAACCAGTAGTCACAAAGCGGGTTTTGATAGATTACCGAAAGCTGTTTGTCACTCAAGTTTAAGTTGTAGATACATACTGAGCATGGCTACAGTGTAAATAAATTTTGATTGGAGAGGGGGTGTTGTGTTGGTTGAGTAAAGCCTTCTTTCTTCAGTGACTTCCTGTTGACAAAATGATTCATAATTAATATGCTTCTAGATTTAAAGTACAAAAGGATGCTGTTAAATATTATTCGAAGACTGAAAAGTTAAGTACAAATTCGCTGGGATTGAGGCTTTTTGTCGACATCAGGTCCTCCGAAAAGAGCAGCGCGGGTTTTGTCTAAATGTCAAAATAAATTCCTTTTTTTCCCCTAAGTATGATTATGTCCTTCACGTCGCGCAAACTAATAATAGAGAAACGGGGGAAAAAGATTATTACATCAATAACGATGAGAATAAAAATAAATCTCTTCAAAATAATAATGATAGTGATAATAAGCTTACTGAACACAATCTCAAACACTGTCTTCCCTATTGCAATGTTAATGTAGATTCCAACATATTTCATGTAAAATGTTTTTATTGGATGCGCACGGGCCCCAACGCAGTGTGTACAAAACACAACAGACAAAACCTCTTGAAGAAAAAGTTGAATTTGGATAACATGAACGTGTTTTTTTTTCTTTCCCTTTTCTCGTGTTGACTCTCTCGACTGCGCAACATAGAAAAAAACACAGTTGAATATTAGACTCTTGAGATGCTGGAATTCCAAAATAATAAATGTTTTTACCACTACGTGTATGAATGTCACAAGGAGTGTTTAGAATTATTTGCAGGACGTATTTCAGGGTGTTGGGACACGTGGATATGCATTAAACAAACTCTCTCTCTCTCTCTCTCTCTCTCTCTCTCTCGTAGCTTTCATGATAATATCTTCTCTGAGCACTGTTTTACAAAAATAAAAAAATCGGTAAGCAACGATGGCAAAAAATGGAGTCCTTTCGACCACGCTCATTGCATTCTATGTTACATTATATTGAGTGAAATAGTCTTCATCTATATGTCATAACCCGTAAAGATAATTTTAACCTGGGTTGAATCGGGTAATGTGTTTTCGCGGGTGTTTTAAGCAGGCACGAATAACAACTACCCGGCTTGTTTTTGCTGTATACTATATGGCAGTTGCATGTAAAAGGCAATAACGCTGCGGGGAGCACCCCGTCATAAAATTAAGGGTACTACATATGAAAAAAGCATTTGAAGAGATAGTTGAATCAGTTAATTGCATGTTTGCTGTAATATTGGTGTACGCCCATGCTAAATACGCCACACGCGCGTCGGGCGTAAAGGATACATCGACATACCCTACTCATTAGAACAAATACTCATATCATAGGTATGATTTGAAGATGGCGTACAGTAGTACATTTAAAATGTCTCTCTGTCGGTCCGTTCGTCTGTATATTTGACTGCCAGTCTGTGAAGTCCATACATCAGTGCTATTGGTCAACAAGAACTGCTCTGCTCTCTTCGCAAGAAAGGGCACTCGGATCTCCATCAAGCAAAGTTGGCCATAAAATTACACTCCCCCTACACTCCCCCTACATGTACTACATCCAACGGGGGCCAAATGCGGACACACGGACAACTGAAGTAGTTAATAAAATGTCATTAGAAGGGAGCTGTCATGCGATTAGAGATCAAGCTCATACATGCTCTTTTACTAGTAGAACGAGTCTTTAAATAAATTACAATTAAGTACCGAACTCAAATAAATGCGCATGCCACACCGATGAATAGGCGCACCGTTATAGATTGACTGTCAAGCATTTTTTATTTACGTCAGTATGATAGCACATTTGAAAAAAAGTATGTATAAAAGGTCACAGACATCGGGGCGTAAAAAAGGAGGCTAAATAAATAAAAAAGTGAAACCTGAGAAATGTAATCGACCCCATAAAGAGAGATCAAAATTGATTTTCAGTGACAGTCGCGAAACTAGCGTAATTTAATATATGTATAGACATGGGACCCCGCTTCAATAAATAGAACACATGTCAAGCCATTGACAGTCAATGGAGAAGGTCATCGCATCATCAATGGCACTGTTGTTGTTGTACGCTATATCTCGGCGTCACATCATACCATCTTGAGGGGTGACACGTAAGACCGCCTGCTCGCGCCACCGCTGTTTCAATGCTCGCGACACATATTTCTCGTGCCAATTAGGATTTTTAACCTGCTCTTCTGACGCCCCTTATCTCGTTAAGGTCGTCATATCTGCATTGGCGCACGTTTTAAGGGAACATCTTATTTAATCTTTACATATGAGGCATGGAGATGTTTCCTATTGCACAGACTTGCATATCACCCGCACATATTTTCTATGCGTTCAAAGTTAAAAACCGCTCTAGCATACGTATTAACTCAATGTGGGCTTACCGAACACGATTGCTCCAAAAAACAGCTGATGTCAATAAATTTATTTCGATTCCAAGACTGGTAATGTATTTAAAGTACAATAAAGTATATACATCATGAAAATAGACCGAGTCCCTCCCCTTCTAGAGCACCTTTCAGTCGGCTCAATGCGTCACCGCTTCCCGGCATTTGGTAGCTAGGTGAGTCTCTCCACTCTCTATCTCTATCGTGTCGGTAGTGTCGCATAGCGTAGTAGTCAGTGACAGAAAGAGCGTCCCTGTCATTGCACGGGATTATCAATCGACGGTATCTCGACTAGTCAATCGGTTGTCGCATACAACAGACGCAGGCCCACCTTTAAGGCACCGAAGGCAGTGTGCGGGTAGTTTGGTATAGTATTAGTTTAGGTCAGTACTATGGATGAATAAGTATGCAGGGTTTTATTACCGCTTCTTCCTAGTCATATTTATTTAGGCGTATTTGTTGTTAATATTACTCGGTGCACTAAAATGGGTGGCAGTCTCAAGTGGCCAGGAATAACAAACTGACGAGAAGAAAGAGTTTTCATTTGTACATGAAGTCTGGCCTCTGTACACGCATACCACGTTAAGCATAATCAGCTTAGGACGACCCGCAGAAGGGTGCTTCCTGCACGAGGAGGGACACTGCGTCACCCATATCACACTACAGCAGGTGTAAGTACCGTCTTTTAATACGATAGTGTCGTTTAAGGAGGGTCTCATTCATCTACAGGTGCAGGTATTAAGGCCGTTTTGCAATACAATATGGGGGTAGAATTTCACTTGGCCTAGTTGCCAGAGATAGCAAGTTGGACGTAGGCGTGCTGAGGACGATGCATTTAAAGTGATTGCCACCAGTGGTCGGTTAAAAGGGTGCACGGGCTCCGTACACTAATTCAAAGTCATTAATCACCCAGCCAAACGGCGCTTTGAAATAGTCTTTTAAGTGTAAGCGCCCCTGTGCGACTTACTTGTAAGATGTTGCAAATATTATTGGCTGATTTGAAAGATTACGTGTATGTGACCTACTCGCAAGACTGAAGATGGCATCGTTATTTTGACATCGTTATTTGCAGGTGTTTGGGTAAAGCGTCATCAGATTGTCTGCAAAGATAGAAGGAGCTGGGTGGGGGTGGAGGGGGGGATATAACACCCTGAGTTTCAGAGGACACAGGGAAATCACCTGTCTACTATCAGCTAGTATTCCAGTATGACAACAGCAGAGGTATGCTGACAGTAGAGATGTGACTTTCCTCTGATAATCAGGGTGGGTATATATAGTGACCGGCATTGCACATTTGGCGTATTGACTGTCGCATCCAAAATACATTAAACTGATGACAATTTACCAAAAGACAATTATCAACTTACAAATAGGGCCTATGTGTAATTTATAAGCGTTTTAATGTGCGTGAATAAAATTGAAATCCCGCATATTTTATATGACGCACAGCCTGAAGATAGAGAGAGAACCCCAATAACATGTATTCAAACTATATAGGAATTATTCATGTTGCATTTAATGGGGTCACTGCTTAGAAACAGTTGAAACATCACAAACAGCAATTAAATATCGGGCGAACAGCCAAGCGCACCCCGACACGCACATACAGATCTGTATGTAACCATACATTTGCACGCGCGCACGTGCATTGCATCTGACTAGCGAATATATATCTGTATATATGATTTCGCGGTAGACAAGTTAAAGCGCACCTACAGGTAAGAACCACACCGAAACTTGAATCACCGCATGTCAGTAGGTTAAAACCCAGAGAGTTGTCTGCCGGCTCATCAGAGAAAAATCTCTGGAACAGAGCCGCGCCGCGTATCCCAGCTGATTTGCACCTGTACTGGGGTAGCCCCATTAGTCGACCTGAGTATAAATAAGCCGCAGCCGGTGCCTTAGCCAAATTAGGAACATCTCCAGTGTAAGGTTCCTCCACCAATCAACCCGCCGACTGGCACAGATTCCCTTCTCAAATAACACCTCGGCCCAATCCCTTGCCTCGACGTTCTCCAGCCTATTCCTATTTGGACCTTCCTATTTTGACAAGAGCTGTTATCTGACTCTACCGGCAAACTATTTTCCTTGAGGTCGTGACGTAAACTTTTTACTGGCTTGTGGTTCGGTAAGCTTGTCTGGCAACCAACGATAGAACGTATACTGTAGCCTCCCTTGTACGTTGCGTGTGCTACTTTGCCAGAGCCTGGACCGGCATCCTATCCTATTCTCGTTCACTCACGTAGCCAGTACTCGGAGGAAGCCATCTTGCCGGTGAGCAACTTTTTAGAACTTTCTGGGGAACAGTCATCTCTGAGAGGCATTGGTGCTATGTATATATAGTAGGAAGTTCTGAGTTTTATTCTTACTGGTGGTTGTCAGTTTGGATTTACTTGAGTTTAGAGGGGCTGGAATCAGAATTTTTGAAGAAAAACAGCGACCTGTTTGTGCTGTTTGTGAGTGGGTGTTTACATTCCTTAAAGTAAGTGAGAGCCTTTAAGATTGAATTAAGTTTCAGGTTCGCCGGTGCTGTCCGGTTTCCTATGGTTTAGGTTACTGCAAGGTAAGGCTGTCCAGTATACCAAGCGTTGTGATCTCTTGACTTTATTATCTTGGAAGCTAATTTCTACCAGCTATGCTTCCCTTTTGGTCTCCCTTAAAGGACGTCGCGGTTGACTTTATTCAGTGGTTTTATTGTTTTCTTTAGGGCACTCCCAGACCAACCATTCAACAAGTTAGGTTAACCCATCTGCAAGTAGCAGTAGTTTCATTTTCTGTGGTTAGAGGGCAGCACTAACGCAATCAACATGAATCCCGAAATCGAGGCTTTGGATGAAGACGAAGAGATGCCGGCGGAACGTGAGCTCGCAGACGACGCTCAGTGGAAATTAATTCAGAAAAATACATTCTCAAGATGGTGCAACGAGCATCTGAAGACCGTCAACAAGGTCCTCAACGATCTGGAGACCGATCTGAGCGATGGCCTGCGCTTAATCGCTCTGGTGGAGGTATTATCGGGAAAGAAGTTTAAGCACGTCAACAAGAGACCTAACTTCCGTACACAGAAACTGGAGAATGTCACCCTCTCTCTTCGTTTCTTGGAGGAGGATGAAGGCATCAAGATTGTCAACATCGGTAAGTTGTTTTATGTCTTTCTCTTTCGTCCCCTGTCCCGTGCAATTTCAGCAAACCCGGGCAGTCGTGAATGTGACATTGAACCACCTGTTATTACCATGTTATTAACGTTGAGTGTATGCATGTGTCAAAAAGTCCGGAAAAGTTTTAAGTTACATGGTATTTCAAACAGTTAACACAAATACATACAAGACTTTTGTAGAGATATCAGTGGAGTTAAAAAGCGTATTTTATAGTGCATTTTATTCAAATACCTCTCGTTCGAATTAAGTGACCATTAACTTCTAAAGGTGCAATGCCCAGGTAGTTTACCTGACAAAGCAGCACAACTGTATAGCTCCCTGCCTAGTTTGTCATGGTTGTTGTCACCAAGCTTAAAATAATTGAATATGTAAATGCTAGGTGATTTCTGAAAGATGATTGAATTACCAACAGGAATATTAGTAAGTGAAATTCACATGAATTTCCCATGCAGTACAACTGTTTGGGGAGGGGGGGGGGGGATACTTGTGTGATTGTTAGTCCAGGGGGGAGGGGAGGCTTAGGCATACCCATGGTTCTTATTTATTATCAATAGTAAGAGCCATAAAGATGTGAAGTGGATTTATCTTACTTAAGACAAAGTACACTTAGATATGTTGCAGTTGATTTTGTTCGTCATGCATTCTTACATTTGTTGTATCATATATTTATGTAGTGGTGGGCATTAAATCATTAATTGCTTAGTATGGATATTGAAGGGATGGGATGGGGGGTGAGGCAATAAAGCAAATATATCTTAAATTATGCAGCAGTGATTAAACAATGTCAGTTATCATACTTGTCATCAGAATTTGTCTTCTTATTAATAACACTATTTATCAATCAAAGAGGTGACTGTTGACACATCTTTATCTACAGGTTATGAAAAATTACCCTAAATTCTATCACTAACAATAGAAACCTGCTACAATGGAAATAATTGCCATAATAATTGCAGCATCTCCTCAGAGAAATGGCCATCAGTTTTCATGAATAAAGCACATATGGTATGTGCCTTGTAGTCATATATATGGCTATCAATCATTACTTCTCCCTGTGTAGTGACTTTTATGTATGGTCATAACAGGAAGAGAGAGACAGGGATCTGAGAAATGTTTTCTTTTTTTCTCTGCAGGTTTCTGTTCAGTGGAGTGATATATTAATATGTGACAAATCGACAGACAGTGTGCTCAGTACTAAAAAATTATTTATAGTTCAAGATTTTGTAAAAATGACATGTCAGGAATGCTATTTGGCAATACAGTATATCTGGTTAGTCTGGTGCTATGGTCTGAAGAGTCTATTTCATGGTGCTGACATTTCATTATAATGCTCAATACCGTATCATGGTATGTTTCCTGCAGGAAGATAGACATAGCTATCTGAACAGGCCCTTTTTTTTTACAGTAGGATCTGTGAGAAGTGATTTATAGCTTGGCTCACACTAGATTCAGTTTTTGTTCTCAGCCCAATGGCTAATGATTCATTGAAATAAAAAGTTGGGCAAATATTGCTGGAATGTCTTCAGATGAAGTAAAGACTAATTCATTATTATGGATTAAACATTTTGGCAGAAAGTGTCCATTAGTGAAAATAATTTTATTTGATGAAACTGTCTGAGCACATATTTTCTATTTTTTTTAAACAGTAGAGATGGAGTACAGTGATACACAGCACAACATTGTGTTAAACTGCCCCCTATGTGACACACTCAGCTTCAGAGACTTATGTGGTGGTCTACTAATAATTCATCACATATATGTAGAACACTTGTTTATCCTGTCATATGCATCAGAGGGTTTGATGACAAAAAGGTTAAAAAGGCATTAGGTTAGAGGCACTTTTTAGTGCTTACTACTAGGTGAGCCCCAATATTTTGGCATCATTGATAGATGATTATCACTGCATAGGAGGAGGATTTAGGGACAAAGTTAGGGTGGGGTGTTGGGGCCCTACAAAAATAATTTAATAATTTTGTATCCTTATTCAGTCGCCTTCATTCACAGAGATGGGTGTGTACCCTTTATGCTATAACTTATTGTAGGTCTTGCTCAAACCTGATAACTTAGATACATGGATGACCAAAAATGGCATGAAATATTTGTTCATATGATGCAGTATTTCTTCAGAATGACCTGACAATAGTGATAAAATCTGTGTATAATCTGTAGATGACATGTTGAGGAATAAGTGGTTATTGTATATTAATCCATCACACCCAGCCGTACCAGGATGCTGTATAGCATTATATCATATTGGACATAAAGAGACATAGAAAGCTGTTGAAGTGCTGCGCAGAAACCTGTTTTATGGACTATATTTGTCATTGTATTAGTATGGTGGCAAGGTATCTGATTCAGACTTATCTTGTTTGCTCCAAGCACAAGGACAAGAGAATAATTCTTTTGAAAATATTTACCACTATTGTTCAGTACAGAATTTGTTCATCACAAATTCTTATCAGGTTGGAGTGTACCAAAATAAATCCTTGCCAGTGGCAGAAGTCCATAAATATATACTGATGAAAATGAAAAGAAAACTGAAGTCATTTACCAGTTTTCCTATTACCCAACAGTAATGCAAACCTTTTTTATATTTAAAATACAATATTTCATGTAAGCTACATGTACACAATGTTACAAAAGGTCATCCTAGCACTGACCATCATCCATTCTCTTTCAAAACTCTCCTCTTGAGAACATCATAAGCAATATATGCCTCCTCCCCAAACTCTAACCCATACACAGTCACTTGACAAAATTAATACAAAATCCAATCTCATATTACAAATTGTGGTCCCAGTACTGTCCATTAGCACTGGCCATTAGCAGTGTCCGGCAGGTATGGTGTGACAATGGCTAGTTGACACTGGACACGCAGTTATCTAAACCTGCAGCTCCTCATCTGTGGTATCATGTTGGTCAATCTGATCACGGCTGGAGATAAGGGCGTGTGTCCACTGCTGCTAGCTAGCTTAAAGCTTCTGTTGATTACAGTAAGTTAAAAGTAATTATTATTCTAGCATGACTGAACCACAGTGCAATGTACATTATTATTTTTATGGATTATAGATCCATTTTGAAGACATTAAAAACTGAAGCCTAATTCATAGATAGTTTGTGACTAAAATATAGTAAAAATTAACCATTTAGCTTATGGATATTCATTATTTGTGTACTGAAAATATGGAAGTAATTAATAATAATTTTTTCTAATTTTCATTAATTTGGTGAAATATACTTAGAGGAAAAGATAGACTACACCCCAAAGTTACTCAAAACTAGTTGTCAGTGTTGTCCATTTTCAAACCACTTGTCTTTATTTTCGGCAGCTCTCTAAATAGCCTATCAGATGTGGAGTGGAGATAGCTATAGATGTGGGTGTCCACAGTGAACTGATAGGATCTCTGGGTTTGCAGTTAGCAGGGGAGAAGAGGGTGTGGTCCATGTAACTGTATTGTGCCATCGTTAATAGCATGGCCAGATTAGATGAGATTGGATGGTGTTGTTTGATAAACTAGGCTGCTAGTTTGTGGTAATATCGTGGCAATATCATGGCAAATTTTTAAGATTGAGGGACTAAGGCTTCGTTCACATGCAATGTCTATTTTCTAAATTCTATTTTCTATTCGCGCTATCTTATGATCACGGTCTGTGCCCTGAATATCCCGCCGCGTAATTACTGGCAGCGCAAGCCAGTTACTTATAGTAACTTATAGTAATTGGCTCACGCTGCCAGTAATTACGCCGCGGGATATTCAG